CAGCCCTCCCGCGGTCCCTCTCCAGCCCCGACCGTGCACTGGACCTCTAGTGTGTGTGTGTGTGTGTGTGTGTGTGTGTGTGTATGTGTGTGTATATAAAAGTTAGTTTTCTTATCTATATGTAAGGTTTCTTCCCGAGTTTCATTAAATTTTACTGGGATGGGGACATGGGAGAACAAGATGTGTGGGGATGACGCTGTGGTCAGTCTGGCACGTGCTGAGTGTGAGGGGGCTTTTAGGATGCACAGGGGAAATGTCCAGGTGGGAGCAGGAGACTGGTCAGGATTGGGGGAGGACGGGGAGAGGCCAGTGAAGGAAGCCAAGTCGTGGGAGCGGACCAGGCCCCCAGGACAGCGTGGGTTCAGTATGAGGAAGGGAGTGCGCACAGGCAGCTGAGCCCTGGAGGCGACACTTCCTGAGAGCTGGTTTGGGGCCCGGCTGTGGGGAGATAGCGGCCACCGAGACAGATAAAATCCCTGCCCTGGTGTAGTTCCCATTCTGTTGAGGCGAGACAAGTAAGTAGACTCTAGCTAATGCAACAAAAATACAGTTGCGCCGAACCGGTGTGGCTCAGTGGATAGAGCGTCGGCCTGCGGACCGAAGGGTCCCAGGTTTGATTCCGGTCAAGGGCATGTACCTTGGTTGTGGGCACATCCCCACTGCGGGGCGTGCAGAAGGCAGCTGATCGATGTTTCTCTCTCATCGATGTTTCTGACTCTCTGTCCCTCTCCCTTCTTCTCTGTAAAAAATCAATAAAATATATTAAAAAAAATACAGTTGCACTTGATAGTGTTACAAGCTAAGGAGAAAAATCAGACGCAGGAAAGGTGGGTGGGAAGGGCGGCCGTGTGAGGGGAGGTCCTGGGAGAAGATGATGTTTGAGTAAACCTGAGGGGGAGGCGAGGGAGGGGCCGAGTGGGGCTCTGGAGGGCGAGCATTCCTCGCAGAGGGAACGGCCAGTGCAAAGACCCTGAGGCAGGATGTGCTGCAGCTTCAAGGAATAGGAGCCAGGCAATGGCTGGGAAGGAGTGAGTGAGGCAGAACGAGTCATAGGAGTCGGAACCAAGAGGAAATACTTTGCAAAAGGCAATCAGTCAATATCGTTAGTCATTAGGAAAAGGCAAAGCAAAGTTACATGGAAATCCCACTTCACAGCCAGTAGAATGACTGTAATAATAATTTTTAAGAAGCAAAATAAAAGTGTTGGCAAGAATGTGGAGAATTTTGTGCATCACTGGCGGGAATGTGAAATGGTACAGCCACTGTGGAAACCAATGTTTTAACTTTTCCTCAAAAAGTCAACCATAGCCCTAGCTCAGTGGTTCTCAACCTTCCTAACGCCGTGACCCTTAAATACAGTTCCTCATGTTGTGACCCAACTATGCCTGTGGACTGAAGGGTCTCGGGTTTGATTCCCATCAACTGCACATGCCCAGGTTGTGGGCTCAATCCCCAGTAGGGGGCGTGCAGGAGGCAGCCAATCAATGATTCTCTTCCTCTCCCTCTCCCTTCCTTTCTGAGATCAATAAAAATATATTAAAGAAAAAGTCAATCGTAGAGTTACTGCATGATCTAGCAATTCCACTCTTAGGTCTCTACCCAACGGTACTGAAAGCAGGGACTTGGACAAGTACATGCACACTTACGTCCACAACAGCATTAGTCACAACGGCCAAAAAGAGGAAACAGCCTCGGTGACCATGAGCTAATCAACAGATAACAAGCGTGGCCCATCGGTAGGATGCAGTATTACTGAAAGGAATGAAGCGCCGCTATACACTCCAGCCTGGGTTACCCTCAACAATACTCGCTCCGTGAAGGAAGCCAGACACAGATGGTCTCATTCTGTGACTCACTTACATGAGATGCCCAGAACAGGCGAATCCAGAGACAGAAAACAGACGGCGGTCCGGGTCGGGAGGGGAGTGAGTGACTGCGGAGTGACACGCGTCCTTTCAGGGCGAGGAGAACGTTTCCTATGAGAAAGGAGTGCTGTTTACACAGCACAGGAATGTGCTAACCGCCCTTGAACTGTACTTTTTAAAATGGAGTCTTTTATTACAAAAAAGTAAACAGGCTGTGTTAACTTTTGAAAAAAGAAAAGTATCTGACTTGCTGATGAGACAGTGCATGCATATTGCACAAAATTCAAAAGCTACAAAGTGGCACAAAAGTGGCAGTTTAATCTCCTCTTCCCGGCCGCCAGTCACCTCTGGAGCCACTCGGGTTAGCAGACTCTTGTCTGCGCTCTGGCACGAACCTGCGCTTACTAACTTTAGCAGAAAGTGCAGAAAGGGTGAAACAGCAACAAAAAAGCGCCTTGGATCCGAGCGAACAAGTTTGGGGATTTTGTTTGAAATAATTGTTCCCTGTGGACAGAGGAGGCTGGTTACACTGCGCAGGGCCAGGGAAGGGGAGCCGCGTGGGGCGTCACGTGCGCGCCCGGGGGCAGAGGGCGAACGGCCCGCAGCAAACTCGGTTAGTCAAAGGGCGCTGGCCGGTGGTTCAGTGGTTAGAGCGCGGGTTTGCTTCCTGGTCAAGGGCACTGCCTGGGCTGCAGGTTCACCCCCGCCCCTGGAGGCAACCAATCCACATCTTCCGTCTCCGTTTCTGTCTGTCTGTCCCTCCCTTCCACGCGCTCTAAAAAGTAGGTGAAAGGTGAGGATTAACCAGAAGAAAGGGCCGGTTCCGGGACAAAGGGCTGCGGCCGCGCCTGCGC